GAGAGACTGGTAAGGCCAGAGAAGTTTGGCCAGGCACATGCCATCTGCAGGTACATACATATTGATGATCCTCCAGACAAGTGTGGAGATAATGGGGACTACTAGTTATGGCAAGTTTCAGGTGCCCACAGCACAACAGCAAAGATCGAACAAATCTCCACACATTGACTGTAAGCACATACATACAAGCTTTTCTGGAAAAAACACAGCAATGCTGAGACACTAAGTTAACAAAAGTATGGAGGGCTTCACTGAAAAATGTAACAAATACAGGACAATTAAACATTTGTCTTCAAAGTTACCAATGAAAACACTTCACACCTCAAAGGCTGCAGCTCCTCCTTTCCACAAGAACCTCAAACTATCGGGAAACTGAATGTAAAAACTTCAGCTGTTTCAAAGTTATTCTTTTGAAAATGGGGCTGTCTGGAACAGGAGTTACTCCATTCTATTCCAGAGTCATGAGGAGATCAATGCAAAAAATCAGCATCCACAACTATGTGTTTCTGGATGCATTAGCTGCACAACTAACATTTTAAAATGTTCATGGGAAGCAAGCTAGAAACTTGGATGGAGGCAGCTGTCCTTTTAGGCCAAGGGTCAGACTTAGAAATAGAAGCCCTTGTTGTTTAACAAAAGCCAAAAGTTGTTTACTTTTTAAATTCTGTATCATTCATTAGACTTAAAATGAAATTTCTGAACTGTTCTCAGAGTTTACAAGAGTACACCTACAGGTAATCTCCGTTGGGTGAGAACCACCTGCATTAGGAGAAACAAAACACAGCACTTTCACACTGATAGGCACCCTCCCACCACTGGCACCAGTCTTCCCTTCAGGACATACTATGTGGAAGCTGATTACAGACTGTGGAACTTTATTCCTCCTTCCCAACTTTCTTTTCCAATGTAGTACTTCTGGGAGGCCCTAGAAGTTTCTTTGGGCTACCCTAGGCTGTACAGCAGACTTACCAGATACGCTGTTAACTCCGAAGGACCAAATACCGCTATGACCAACAGGAGCTGTGAAGTTGGTTCCTAAGGGCGTAGGAGTGACAGATCCTCCCTGTCGAATCCGAGCAAGCCTTTCTGTCCCAATAGGAGGGGGCACCTTTCGATCTTGATTGGTGTTACCCGTTTTTGGCTGGCCCAAGTTAGAAGGTACAGAAGCAGCTGAAAGGGGTGAAGATGATCCTGAGGAAACTGATGGAATAGGAGATTCACCTGCTGAAAAGAATATTTCTCTTGCTTAATTACACACAAAGCACAGAAGCTAGCAAGCATAAATGCTACCCGCTCTATGCCCCCAATATTATCTCAAAGCAAATGATAAAAAGATTTTAAAGGCTTTTTTGGCAAGCATTCTTCAAGTCTTTCACAGGAATTGTTTAGAGTTTAACTCTAAAATCAACATAACACAAATGCTTTCAGCCATCAGAAAGCCATCAGATATTCTCATGACACAGCAGTACGTCTAAATTAATTACGAGAAAGAATAAGAAACATGGAAGAGTTTCAGGAAGAGGTGAAAACATCAGCCAAAATACCACAAATATCTAGACAGCCTGGTTTTGGTATCCACCACTTCCAGCAGAAGAGAAATTAGACAGCCTCCCAAAGCCACATGTGTAACGTAAGAGCGTTAAGTCCCACCAACTTCCGAAGCGTCACTGACTCTTCTTGGGAAATTCAACTTCCTTTGAGCACTCATTTAAACGTTTTGTTCTTAAGCTCAGAGTGGCAATGAAGTTGCATGCAGTGACATGAAAAGCCTCTTCACTTCGGATTCTGAATCAAAGACCCATATTTTCTGTAAAGCTACTTCCATGTTCTTCCCATTAGGAGGAAAACCCACTGTCACTTTGGATGATGCTTAAAGATTTTGGAATGTTTTAAGTAACATGAAATAATTCCAGGATCCCAATAAAGAAAAAAAGAAGGAACGAGGAAAAAGGAACGAGGAAAAAGGAACGAGGAAAAAGGAACGAGGAAAAAGGAACGAGGAAAAAGGAACGAGGAAAAAGGAACGAGGAAAAAGGAACGAGGAAAAAGGAACGAGGAAAAAGGAACGAGGAAAAAGGAACGAGGAAAAAGGAAAGGCAAGTGTAATTTTAAACCATGGCAAACATGACATTTTCGCCTATTACACTCATACTACTTAGGGAGGAATCTTTAGCTTGGTATAATCACCTCCACTCCCCCACAGCTTCACGCCCTCTCCTCTCAGAGCCTAAAATGATTGATTTTTTTTTTTTCCCAAATATGCCTTTAGTAATGCTACCAGAACTAGTGGCATTTTACATGGGGAAAAAACACAAAATAGTACAGTTTCGGATTCGCACACCATCCTCGCAGCTGCTAAAAGCAATTGGAAAGCATTTTATGCATCACTGGGTAATTTCCCCTCAAGTTACAAATCTACTAAAGACAATAGCTATGAATTTATAGTTAACTAAGACAGACCCATGAAGTTCCTACATGAATTTGTTGCGCTTGTCCAAGGATGTGGTGAAAAATGCTGTCTGTTAAAGCTGGGAGTCCCAACAGGCGCTGGCCCTTGAAGGTAAACCCGTGCTCCTTGTATGTTTGCTGAAAAGCCTGTCAAAGGACCTGAAGAAGAAGTTGTAGAGCTGTTGGATGGATCTAGAGAGGGTAAGCCTGAAATAAACATAAATTTGATTAAATATCTCTCTTTGGGAACCTGCTTCAAAGCACCAGAGAGAGTTAGTGCTCCAAATATAATTAAAGCATCTCACCACCTTTGGAGGTATCTGCACATGGTAAGTTCATTTTACAGGTGCACGATTCTCCCTCAGAAACAGACAGAAGGCACTTCTGTACGCTGTTTTGGCCTGGAGCTTTAACAAAAACAGCCATCCCTTTGGTCACCAAAAGGAAACGATCTTAGCAGGGAGGGCAAAGGAGGAAAGCTGGGAGTGGCACGGATCTTTGTTACAGAACAGCCACAAGTCAAACAGGGATACAGGGCTCTGTGAAAGTCCCAGGGGAATCCGGCACCAGGGAAGTGGTTCGCTGCAGGATGGATTTTGCCATCCTGGAGGTACGTTCACATGGAGATGGGTCAGAGCACGCTGCGTGCAGCGCAACAGGGCTGGCGGCGCACCGCCCAGCCGGTGAGGGGGCTGCTTTCCGCAGGGATGCGTGAGAGGAAGGGAGAGATGGAGAGAAAGTTCAAAGTCCCACAAAAATCACTAGCAAGGGGGAATGACAGTTTTTTAAATAAGCCAAAGCTTTTAAGTACTTTTCCAAAATGTTGTAAAAGCTCTTATCACACATTATTACCTGACAGCAGAAACAGGCATGGCCATATGTTCACCTGAGTTTTGGGTTTAGTTTCAAGGGCCTACTACACGTGACTAGTTTCAAAACCATTTGAACATTTCAAAAATGACCACAACCAGGACCAGCCTCTATTGCTGCAGAGCATGGCTGAAGGTTGTACCTGCTTACACCCCGGCAGCCTGCACACAGCAGTGGTGACAGGCTATACCTTAGGTCATAGACTAGAGGTGCACCTTTCATCACCTGGATACGTTCCTGAAAGCCAGGTGTTTTCCCCCTGATACTATCAACCAACTCAACCTGATTTACTGCTTCCAGAAGTGCCAGATCCAACCTGCTCACATTGACAGAAATTACTCACTGGATTTGAAGGAGGTATTTTTCTCACTAGACCTACCCCAAAGGTGGGTTTGTTTTTGGTTTTGTTTTGTTTTTTTTGAAAAAGAGAAGTCTCCATTACAGACAAGGAGAAATAAATCATCACCACTACCGGAACATGGGGTGCTCAGACAAGGGAACCAGAGCATGGGAGAACAATCTTCCAGGGTTTGTCACAGCACAAAGTGCAAGACTCCACAGCTGTAAGGAGGATGCTAATGCCTGTGCAGGCTGCCTGTAAATGCAATTTGGTTGACCTGCGTTTAGGTGAGTTGCAGGCTGGCCCCCAGCACAGAGCCTAGCTGTAAGCAGTCTGCAGCACCTCCAGCTGAGGGCTCTCCCTGTGCCTCTGCCCCGGAGCTGCCAACAGCACTCTTGCTAACCCTCCATCCACAAAAGACAAGCCAGAGGTAGTCAAAAGGCCTCTATGGTGACCAATTCCACCACACATCAAAACCAAGTTTACAGCTGGCTGACAAACCACTGAAGATCCCAAATCTCTGACCCACAGAAGAGGAGTAACAGAGCTGCTGCTACCTATGGGGACTGCTGGTTTCCTAAACAGAGAACAAGGCAGAGATTATGACAAAACCAGCTCTTCTGCAGAAGAGAGATGCCCAAGTGTGTCTTTTGAAGGCTTGATTGGACAGGTACACAGCTTCCGAAGTGCAATGACTGTACAGCCACGACCGTTTCAGCACTGCTGTGTATTTTCTACAGGCTGAAGAAAGTGTGACAGCCAGAGATGCACAAATTCAGAGTACTCAGTTTTCAGGTTGTAAAGAACACTTTTTATCATTATCTTGCCTTTCGTAAAAAGGGATGAAAAAAACATCGCTCAATATTAAAAACGGCTTCTATAAACAATGACTTACAGAACCCTGATTTCAGTAATGAGCTTCCTATTGATGTACTTACCAACAAAACCAGGTTTTGTAACACTAAAACTTTCTGCCCTACGATACTCGGCAGTTCCTTGGGCCATGAATTCAAACTCTTCATCATGCTCTGAAAGAGTAACTGAGCTTTCCAGACTAGCATACAAATCTCACACAAACTGCTCAAAATTCAGTTTATGAAAGCCCCCAGGAACTTCTGCAGAAACTGGTTACTGCAAGGGCCACCTCCACCTTTAGAGAAACAGCGGCAATGCCTAGTCACTCCACATAAAACAGGGAGCCCAGCCATTTCATGCAACTTCATGTGCTGCTTCCCAAGTTGGCATATTTCAAATTTGTGATACCTTTTATTGCCACATGAGCAAGGTCTCAAAACCCTTCTTAAAATGCAGAGGAAAGAAGTAACAGACTTCTTTTGGTCTTCTCCACATGGGTGGGCTAAGCCTGCCCTCAATCTGCAAGCTGCTAGGACAAGAGATCTAAAGACGTAAGTGAAACAAAAGGCCATTTCCAGAACAGACCCACAGCCAGTGAGATGTGCATGTGCATCTGTGCCCCAAAGGAACCAGTGAACCAGAGAAAACTCAGGCTGCAACTGAGCTTACCATGGACAAGCAGAGTACCCAAACTCCACTGAGGTGACAACAAAAAGCTGGTTTAGTGCACAGTTGAATCACTTGAAATCTCCACCAAATCAGCTCAGAGGTGATCACCACGAGATGTTGATTTGTAGAAAAGTTTGCCACAGCCCAATTGTGCAAGACAGGCACAGAAGACAAACCTCTGCTCCATCAGGTGTAGAGTCCCAGCTGAGATTACAGGATCAGTGCCACCTGCTTTGACAGCCATTACTAATCCCTCTCATCACAAAAAAAAGTGTACTGATTGCCAGGCAAGGCCCAGACTGCTCCTTGTCCATAGCACTGCTGTTGGTCAAAGTGTAAGCCAGCAGTGACCAGCCCTTTCCTCCTCTCCTCACAATTTCATGAAACCTGCCAGTGAACCCTATGGAAACAGCCAAGGTAGTTCCCAGTTCAACCCACCTCAGAGGTTGAGCTGAGTGGAAAGGTCTATTCCCCAGGAAAGAGCCAGTGAAAAGGACCACACTTACACTCCAAGGGAAGGCACTGGAGATGTCCTCAGCCTACTGTCCTGGCAACTTTCCTCACTATCACGCCTTCAAAACACCCCCTTCTCCCCAGGCTCCCCTAACCCCTCCCCTCCCCTCCTCTGTGACAGACAATTTAGATCCTGAACTGAAGGTGATCAATAGCAGTACTAAGTTAATGACATTAAACGAATCAACTAAGGACCTAACTAATCAGTCACTTCCTGACGGGCAGAATTTTAGCACCACATCTACCTATTTGCACTTTTTCTTCACTTTGCAATATCCTAATCAAATTCCAGCTCAGAAAAAGTGTGTTCTGTCCAAATATTTTTGTGCTTCAGTTGAGAACTTCACACATCTCCCCACAATCAAACATGTGAGCTCGCCTTGGGTATCTACCTAGTCTTCATAACTCAGGGAAGAAACAGATTTAGACTACCTTTTAAATACTTAGTCATTTAAGGATATACAAAAGACCAAGAAATTTTTCCCAATGATGCACAGATATCCTTAGCATAAGGGAACAGCAAAATTTTTTGCTGCTATGGGAATTCCTAGTCAGCTATCTTTGTATACAGAAGATGAGATCATCAGAAAAATCAGCAGATCCCATTTGCCATAAGCTTCCTTCCTCGGGGGTTATTCCAGCAACAGCCAGCTCCCAGTTTAGAGCACTGCAGAGAAAAACCTGAGCCAACATAAAGTGTTTCTGGAGTCTAGCAAGGAGGGTCTGGCAATTCTCTTATAAGCAGCCTGTCTGATGAACAAGGCCTAGTCAGGGTACCTTCTACAGCGTTAGTTACATCTGCTTCTGCTTTCTGTGCTGAGACTGGACGTGGCACAAGAGCTCGGTTGCGTTGACTCGGTTTGCAGAGCTATACAGTCCAAATTAAACCATTAAGGAAACCACGGTCACAGCAAACATCCCAGTTTTGTGGTTAAAGCTAGGCAGAGAGAAGTGTTCTGTTTTTCAGAAATCCTGTGTGTTTGCAAATCAACTGAGAGGAATGGGAATGCTGAAGATCTTTCCTCACCACCACATCTTCCAAATGCCTCCTCCTCCTTTAGTCTGAACGTCAAACTACTTGACTTGTCCCAGTCCAGCACTCAAGTCCTGAAGCATTAGCCCAAATATCTAACACACACTGCAGGGGTAAAGAAAACTTCAAAGCAAGGCCCTCTTATCTACCCGACTTCAAGGCCCCATAAAGCCATTATGGCAAGAATAAAGGGGAAAACAGGGTGGCACAGACTAGATCTCTTGAGGGTCCCTTCCAGCCAAATGGGTGCAGCCAGTTGCCTGCAACATAGTTTGAACACTAAGATGATAATCCTTTAGGCAGGGCACAGCTAGGGCAGGGAGCTCACTGGGAGTATTCCTAACCCACTTCAAATAAATGCAGATAAGCTTAAACTGCTACACTTAACAGCAGGACAGTAACTTCCTAACAAAACACACCATGCATACCAATTTGCCAAAGCACAACATAAGCTTACTAAAATCCCAGAGCCATATCAAGAGACAAAGTACAGAGAGTTACCCTCACTGAGTCAAGCTGGAGTCTCAGATTAAACACTGAATGGCTGCATGCAGTCACGCCTGCAGCTGGAACCTCTCAAGAGTCCTGGTCCTGCTGTCTCAGGTTTGGTATCACCCGACCCTATATTTCATTCCTACCCAAAAGCTAAAATCAATGCTACTCTGAACTCTACAAATAGGTGGAAGCATTCCCGTGACTGACAGAGGACAAGCAACGCAATGTCTACAATTTCCCAACACCTAACATCCTGGAAGAGCTGAAGAAAAGAGGAAAAAAATCATCAAGATTTTAAAGAGCACTTGGAAAAAAACAGGCCATCCTCATGACACTAGTATTCTCTGTCATTTGTAAACTACTTCTCAGTCAGTTTGAGATGATCAAAGTGTAATGGTTGGAGAAAGAATTCTGTCCAGTGCACAATCTTAATGACTTACCTACAGGACTAGTCGAAACCCGTTGGGAAGGTGGCCTGAAACCAGGAGCCTTGGAGTTGTCAGGATGCACGTTTTCCACGTGTCCTAGCACAGAGTTATTCAGAAAGGTGGACTGAACAGTGAAAGATGGGTCAGCTGCTGCTCGGGTAGAGAGTGGACAGTCTCCCCATCCTTGGTTAGCTGGCACCTGGTTGCTATCAAAAAGACTACTAAAGTGACTGAAGAGCGTTGCTGGCCCAAAGGTAGGAGGCAATGATTTGTTTGCTGGGTTAATGTGCATCTGAGAACCGTTCATAACGTTCATGGCTGATGAGAGCTGCACTGCAGCAGGTGGACCTTGAGAAGGTGTTAAAGGAACTTGATTTGTAACAAAAATAGATTGAGGATCTTGATGGAGGTTTGCATTTGGTACCACTGAATAGAAAGAACCTCTGGACTGCATCCTGTGAGTAACTCGAGGTGCTGGTACAGCTACTTGAGGTAAGTTACTGTTGTCCTGATTATCTGCAACAGCTGACCTGGGTGATGCTAAGCTTAAAGGAGCAGTTTCTGAGCTGGAAGAAAAAGGCATCGACATAGGAGGATTGATCTCTGACATGCTGGTCGGCAGTGCTTCATCTTGGACATTATTTAGCGGTGCAGGGCTGCTTGACGGGCGAGTCTCAGTGACTCCGGAGTTGCTGCTAGCTGACATACTGCAACTGCTTGCAACTGAAGACGGTGCACACGCATTTGCAACAGGCTGGTCTGGTGCTGACACCTTCTCTTTGGGTGGTGAGACAGCCGAGAAAGAGTCCGCTTTAAGTGCAGGATGCTGCGTTTGTGGAGCATTAGATGGCAGAAACGCTGTGGGCACTTGCCCGTTGTTTGTGGGGGCAGAGGAAGCTGAAGGCAGGGTGCTACAGGTGCTCGTCACAGTTGAGATGGCTGTCGCTGCAGCACTCGTCTTGGGAACGCAGGTGAACAACTGCTTTCTGACCGAAGAGGGAGTTCGATTACTGGTTACACACAGCGGCTGGGTGGAAGCAGCTACAGAAGAGACAGTAATAGGACAACTAGATGTAGCTAATCCAGGAGACTCTGTCTGTAAAATATTTCCGTTCTGACTACCTACACGACTTGAACTGTTATGCTTTGGAGAGCTGTTTGTGCTGCCAGGGTTAACTGGTCTCACTGGGAATGGTCCCCAAGTGTTCGGTGAAGGTGAAAAAGTCCCTCCAAATTGGGCCATAGGTAAGCGAGGGTGCCGGATCTGTTGCATAGTTTGGGCAGCCAGCAAGGCAAAATGAGGGTGAGAATAAGCTAGAGGAAGAGACACTGGAAAAGATGAGCGCACATTTGCGGACACATTCTTGTTCAATTTGTTAGTAGGCTGGAAAGTAGATAGTGTTGATGACTGTGATGTGACTAGGGGCGGTGCTCCGAGAGGGAAGGAGTTCTTGTTTGAAGCGGTCGCAGTGCTAACTCCAGATGAAAAGTTTGCATGGATTGACTTGTTGCTCGAAGCGGGTGTTCTTATATGAGTTTTAGGAATCAAGTCTTCCAGTTCCTTGGCAGGATCTTGAATAAGGGCATTGATGAGTTGCACTGCGTATCGCGTTGACTCCGTTCCACCCCTAGATTAAATACAAACATATTTATCTTTTGCAAAAGGAAATCCCGCTTTGTGTAACATTCTGTAGCCTCAATTTTATACTGATCTGCAGGTCTATTGCACGTTTACTCCAATAAGTTATTTCTTGACTTTTGTGTATCTTAAGGGTTATCTTTGAAGAAGCAGCCATTCAGCAGATCTTGGCAGCAGTAATGTATGTTCTATTCAAGCACCAAGAAGCTAAACACGTCCTGTCTTAAAAAGCAAACAAACTTCTTAATAAACGACATTGCACACTAACTTGAGACTTTCATTTCTTGATACTGTACCTTATAGTGATCATTCTTTCTCCATTCTTATCTTTTTGCTTATCAACGTCAATATGGGCACCAGTGACATCTTGAATTGCTGTGATGTTGCACCCACCTCTTCCCATTATTCTAGATACGACAGAAGCTGGGACAGATAATTTCTTTGACCTATATCACAAAGATCACAAATCTGTGAAATGTATTCAAACTTTTAAGGGCACACAAAAATCCCTTGCTGTCTGACAGGTGGCAGAAGCAGTATTGTTAAGTTTCAGGGCAGCAAGTGGTTTTCTGCTGATATTTTCTTCACCCTGTGGAACCTCTCTAACTCCCCCACTCAAATTACTCATCATCCTCACTACCTGACGAGGATTCTCCAGAAGTATTTATTCCATCACTGTTGTAACACAGATGTATGTGCCTCACACTGCTTCAGAAACACTTTTGGGTTTTATCTTATCTTTTGTACCTTCAAAGTGAGACAAATCTTTAGCTTATCAACCTAAATTTACATAAATAGTGCTGCTTCAAACATAAAAACCCATGGCTTAGCTACTTGGATTGTTTATAGCAAGGAGAAAGTGGTTTTCCAGTGTTTCCCAATCATCAGCTCTGTACTACTACTTGCATTCACCATCCTTTTAGTATCCACCTCTCTGAGGCCTCAAGATCTGAAAGTGTATTGCTGACACCACACAATGGCAGATGGCTGACCGTTAAATTGTGCAGTTCTGCGATTTAAGGAGCTGCTGGAAGCCTCTGTGAAGGCAGCACTAATTTTCAGAAGCAGGCTCACTGTCAGGCCACAACACTGCAACCCGTAAGTCAATTTAGGATTTTTCTAATTGATATGGTGTCGGTGGGTCAGTGCAGGCATACAGGACTGGGAAGTCTTTGAACATGAGCTATGCTTGCATTCAGACTCAAGTGAAGGTCTCTGTGGGCCACCACTGTCCCCAGACTTTAAAGGCTGGACTTCTCAAGCCCAGACACCACTTCTGAGCTTGCCATGTGCAATAGTTCAACGCTGAACAATTAAAGGAGATTCAGAGGGGTTTCAGAAACCACTGTGATCACAGTGCAGGCGCCTCTGAACACTGTTCAGATCACCACCACCCCCTGAAAAGGTTGCCAGCTTCACCTAGCTATTCCAGTTCTTGGAAACTTTTCAGTAACTTGATGCTCAAGAAATTGTTTCTCGCTTAATAGGACTTAAAGGAAACCTATTTTATTTTAAACACATCTAAATACGTGGAAATGTTCTAAAGTATCACCTCATCTTGCCAAGGCGTTCTTTCTTTCCCACTCTCCTGCCAGGAGAGCATGCTACAACCCTCCCCATCCCCAGAAAGCAGGTCCTCAGAACACTCACCCAGCTCTCCCTCCCAAGTTGCTTCATGCTTTGGGCTTTCTTCCCCCCTCCACCCTGAAGGCTCCTCTCTCAAACGAGGCAGCCCAGTCACTCCCTCCTCAAATCAGAGCTCCTATCACCTAACTTTCAAGATAGGCCCACATTACTCACAGGACTCCTAACTGCACCTTGGTCTGCGTCCACCTCAGCCCACTAGGAACCCTACACCACCACCCATGGCAACATTCCTCCTCCAGCAGAGCTCAACCCAGTGCCCAGGCCTCTGCCCACCCATCCCCAACTGTCAATTCCCTCCCTACCCACCAAGCTCAATGGTTTTTACCTTGAGAAGTGCCCAAAACAGTACCTTTTTGCTCCCGAACAGCAGCGCCCTCCTCTCTGCAGCTGAAATTGCTCAATTGGTGTTGGCTGCAGAGCGTTGCTAGGGGGAGGGTCTTTCAAAACTCTGCCTACTTGCCTGTCAAGGGCAGAAGGGATGTTTTTGTTGGTTACTTCTTTGATAGACATCCCTTCTAGCCAAGGGGTTACTCATGGGGAGAGGGGAGAAGAATTCTTGTTGAGACCAGGAGAGACTTTAGAAGAGGAAGGCATGCAGCTCCTGGGCATTTTGTACACACATCTAAAGCCACCAAAAAGCTCTTCAGCAGGATGCATGCTTCGATCAGTCAGAGCATAGCAAACACCAGGGCAGAACACTTTACTGACATGGTCTTTATGACACAAGGCCTGATCCCTCAGGGATGAGGAAAGGTTGGGTCTTGGATATCATCTCTAGAACCCTACTGTCTCCAGTACAAGAGCAGACAATACCCAACCAAGCAGCTGAGTTGAGCCTGTAAGACTCAAGAGACCCAAGACGAGGGACAGAGCAGCTCCAGGGTCAGTGGTGAGGTCTGTGTGCAGACCCAAAAGAGCCAGCTGCCTGTTTCATGCTTTCACGTCTGCACCACTCCCCAAGTGGGCATCTGTGACCATACATTTAGGCCATGTCAGGGTGGAGAACTCCATTTGCAAACACAACCAAAGGCAGAGACCAAACCAACTCTCTAAGAGTTCAAACACTTAAATTTTCAGATTAAACCACCTTTTAACCTTTATTAAGAACAGTGTGTGGCTTCCACTAATCTGAACACATTAAATCCTCCATACAACTAGGTTCTTTGCACATAGCCTAAAATTCTCTAAAATGAGTGTATTTGGTCACTACCATTGCAGAACACAAAAGCAGGAGGGCATCGTAACTGGACCCAAAGCATCTGACACTTGTATGTTCATGCTACATTCCTTTTTGATAAAGAGAATAAAAAAAAAAAAAGGAAAGCCAGATGATCATTTCTAGTTACAAGTAGTGGGAAAGATACCAGGGCGTTAACGGCCATATAATAATAACCAGTACGTTTTCAAAGGGAAAGTTTGCTTTACAGAAAATCTCTAAATATAATCACACCTCTAGCACTTGCTTTAAGGTGACAAAGTTTTCCATGGAATTGGCCATCGAGGTCATTGCCCAAAGCACAATGCATTTTAGCCTTGAGGACATCATCCACCTCTCCTCCACTAACACCACTCCTGTTCATGTGCCAGCAATCATCTGCTGTAGGGGCTCTTCACTCCCATCTGCTCCCTCTCCCTTTTATCTTATCCCCACAACCTTTACTCCACTGAAGTCACAAGTAAAGGAAACTCTTTTGCCAAACAAAACTGGGACTGCAATTTGTTTTCACAGCACTGCAAGACTAAGGGGGGGTAAATTTATATTTTTTTTATAAATTGATTTTACAATTAAATAACCTTGCTCAGCATTCTATATTTGAGAATAATTTACAAAGTAAAAAGCTCACAGTTTTTAAACACGGAATTAAAGTCTTTACCTTCTAACCACTTCTTTCCAGCCTTCTTCTCTTTTCTGGCCTCTTTTAGGACTAGTCAGATTCAGTTTTACATTTGGAGAGGTCAGAGGCAGGGAAACAGGCTTGTAAGTAGTTGACAAAGAATTTGAATGACCTTCACCATCAAGTCTGGGAGCAGAAACATGATTACAGTTACAGAATAAAACGACAGTATTACGGTATACATTTCTGCAGCTTAAAATCACTAGCATGAACTGTTTTCAATCTAATTTTCTACTTGGAACAACTGTTGGGTGACTTCATAGGTAGTTTTTTACCTTTTAGTCCACAGCCTATACCTCTTCTCCAAAAATGGAGTGCTAAACTGAACGAAGCACTAAGGACAACAGACTGAAATAGTTTGTAACAGGTAGCACACAGCCACTTAGACACATCCTGATTACTTGTCTATACTGTGTTCTTCTTTTTGAACGGCTTTTTAATAAAAGGTACCTTGGTAATAATGTCTTTCTCTTACTAAGTACTTGAAAATGTCTGTTTTTCAGCTCTTATTACTACAGATTCCCTGGAAAGTGCTTCTAGCCCTCGCTCCCCATTTTATGAATGGGTAACTGAGCATATTTATGTATTGAAGTCCCAGTGACATCAATTTGGAAGCAAGTGCCCAAACATCATTATCTGTACTAACACAGCTGTAGCAATAGTCTGGTGATACAAACAG